AGTGTGTGTGTGTGTGAGTGTGTGTGTGTGTGAATTTTCCTGCTGTTTAAAGACCACAGATGCTGAGGAGAAGGAAGGAGAGGCAGTTGGTGGAGCTCGGTGTCCCTCTCATGGAGAAAAACGGGCTCTTGGACTTGAGCTGGCGGTGACAGAACCAGCATCGAAGAAGATCTGCTGGGAGAGTCTTTCTGTACCACATCAGACGAAAACAATGCAGCAGATAAGATAAAGAGGGAACTTGAACACTACACAGGGGAGGCATCCATTCCACTGAGTAGCCACCCTTTAAAGTGGTGGAAAGAAAACTGCACACAATATCCTGTACCGTCTTCACTGAAGCACACCTTTCCATCCCTGCTACTTCTGTCCCAAGTCAGCATGTCTTTTCAACTGCAGCAGACATAGTTAGTGCCCAGAGGTCTCAGTTGTTGCCAGAAAACGTAGACATGCTTATTTTCCTGAAAAAAAAAAAATCATGGATATCAAATAATCTGGGGACAGTGGTTGTTACCTGTCACCTTTGACATTGAGGAAATATGTTGGCACTTTAGGCTTTAAAGTGTCAACATGTTTACACTTGTTCTTTTGAAGGTAATGCATAGATTATATAAAGAATGCAAATATCATAAAGAAAAAAATATGTTGTTTTTTTATTTATGTTGAATTTTTGCTAAGTTAAGTCTGCATGTCATAGAATAAGTGAAGGCATGCAAATCATAAAGAAAATGAATAATTGAGTTTGTAATAAATGTTAAAACAGAATAAAAGCCTTTTTGTGCCATAAAACTGATCTTTGAAGTTTTCTTGAAACTAATATTAAAATCTCGTCTCGTTCTTGTAAACACAGTAATTTGTCTCGTCCCGTTTTGTCAAGAGAGTTTTTTGTATCGTTACACCCTTATATTACAAACTGAGCTGAAACTTTTAGGACTGAATGATGAGCTTTTTCACAGGTGAAACATAAAATACACAATACTGAAATCAAATATATTGAGATTAGAGTTTAAACTTTTTATAAACTTGACTGTCCTAAATATTAAATCTTATCTGTGTGTGTGTGTGTGCATGTTTTTGGTACATTGCAGGGACCAGGTTGTTGATGCTCATTTTTGGTGGGGCGTTAGGTTTAGGACCAAGGTGTAAATTGAGTTTAGGTCAGGTTCAGGGTTGGGGGTCAGGTTAGAGGAGTATTTACTCAGAGGGTCCCACCTGTCGCCTGATGGCTCAGCAGAGTTTGTAAATCCTTTAGGAAGTGCACGCTCACTGGAGATCAGGTCCAGTTCTGGGCCACTGGGTCCTGTCTTTATGAAAGGTACATGGTGGAGTGGGCTGTTCCAGTTGGAGACAGCCTGTTTATTAGTAAGAGCTGTAAGATGTACTGGAATATGACTGGTGTATTCCTGTGAGTGGAGGTGTGTCTGAGTAGAACTCAGCCAGTATACTGAGTGTTTGTCATGTGCAGTTCTTCATAGAGAGCCAGGAGAGTTCAGTGGGGGGAGGTTTACTCAGAGTAAGGTGAGAATTGGGGGAGGGGTCAGGAATGGTTGGGGGTGTGGTCTGGTAGGTGTAAATAGGATGTTTACAATGAGGTTAATCTAATAAAAATAAACGTTTAGGTTATTTAGAAGAGTTCCTTTTAGTGACTGTTTACATTTTACCAAGTTCAGGTTTAGTTTTTGAAAAGGTTTTTAT